GAAATAATTTGAACCAGCCATTCAAATTATTTAAGATATATTTATTTCAAAAGCAGGCGCTTTGATAATTATCATTAGTCCTTTAGCTGACTCTGGGCTTCACAGAGGAGAGCACCATCAAAGTGAGAAAAAGTAGAGAAGGTGAATAGAAGAATGAATCACAGATGAAAAAAGACAGGCAGACAGACACAAAGGTAAAGAGTGAGAGAGAGTCAGAAGTCAACTGCCGGTTTATGGACTTTTTTGCCGTATGAGTATACGTTGCCCAGGGTGCACCACGTGGAGGTAAGTCTATCGCACACCCCATTTAAGATATACATATATTAATCCATCACAGAGATGTATAATTGCAACTGAAATGTGGTTGGCTCGAGTAAACTTAAATATGTGTAATTAACTTACCCCGTAATTTCTCTACTGGACTTTAGGAGCTGGAAATACTACTGGCTTGGTGATGGCTACGGAAGAACATGTGCAAGTTGGACATCTAGCTATTTGATGGATGTCGCCAATGTCTTTGCCTTTGATTATGCAAATCGGGAAGTTGTTCATGATATTGCTTCATGCTCATCGTATCTTCACCTTCTCTGCTACTCTGTGTGTGAAGACTACGATAAATTTTTATGATCTGACCTGATTTTAGAACACCAAGACGTCATGTACACCCATTTCGTCGCAACATATTTCCAACTCATAGCATGCATTCACCGAAGAAATTTAGAAATAATATCTTACTAAAGATACTTAAATATATGTAATTTTGATATTATAAAGTATCCCATTGTTGATAAATCAATTTTTCTTAGTAGCTTTAATAATTTAATGGATTAGTGAAGGTACTACTAAAAATATAATGGTACAACATTTTCTACATCAAATTTCGCAAAGTATTTCAATCACTTTAAATTCACAACACCCATTAAACGAGTAAATCATCGATAAACTTGGCTGCTCAAGGGCTCTTTTCACTTGTGGTGTGAAATAAAAGCGAATTTGATTAAGTAAAAACGCAAAACGTCATTAACTAAGCTTTTAAGATTAGAAAGCTCAAGTGGGGAACGAAGCTGACTTCATTGCAAAGAATAAATTATGCGAGCCTTAATAATTCCAGATAAGTGGTGATAAAAATCAAAGAAATTTCATTTCCTTGTCCAAAATTATCCAATAACCTTCATTCTAATAATATTCATAATATGAGGCGTCAACCGCAATACTTCATCAGTATAGAAAGTGAGTGTAGTTCAAGAGAATAATGAAATATTACAGATAGCGTGAGATTCACAAAAATATCTCTGACAAAGACAGCTTTCACTATTAAACTGCATTAATAGAAAAACTAAATTATTAAAAGTCCAAAAAAGAAAATCGATTTGACAGAGCAGTGCAGACGTTTTCTAAATTAGCTCCCCTATGGTTCGCATTTCAAGTTCGAATCCATAATAATCAGTAGATAGAGCTAAGTAAATTACGGGTTTCAGCTTAAAGTAAAATTTCTCCTGTAAATTGAAGTACAGAACTCGATCTCGAATTTGGCATAATTCCTCTAAACAAAGTTGGACAAACTTCACCAAACGCCTTAAGGGTTGATGAAATCTTTTAGACCAAACGATGGAACAGACCTTCGAATAGCAAATATATGAAGGTCAAGGTCGTTCGAAATAATAAATAGAGAATTTTTAATATGCTCATTTGGTACGGTTCAAATTGATAAGGGCTGAAAATCCAAACACATGGTTTCACCTTATTTCGACGTTCGAATATAACACGCTGTTTAGGTCTACTCGGTTTAAACTTTAGCTTCCAAGTCTTTACGCAGTTCATTTATCTTTAAACTCCTATGAAAATCATATTGAGAAACGTTACATTGTTTGATGGCTTATTGAATTTTTTGACAAAATAAAAATCCAGATAAATAGAACATATATCCATGTCTAGTCTTCAAAAAAGGCAATTTAATATTGTGTAATAATAAATGTAAACTTTGTTGTTTTATTTTAATAGTTGATATGATGGTTAATTAAAAATAGAACCTCGGTATCTTAAATAGATGTGCGGACTAAATAGACTCAATATTCAAATTAAATATTCGAAATAAAAAGGTAATTTCAATAAGCAACAAAAGCAACTTGTATATTCTCGAAACATGTCAGATAAAATATTAATCTTGACTTAAGAGTATACACAAAAAGGTATTTGTTACTGAATAGGGTCGATAGGATGGAGGTCGCGGTACTAGCGTAAAAGTGGTAAAATCATGCACCGAAGGAAATGCAAATAATGGAAATAGTAATAATTCAAAATAAGCTCGTCATATCTTTAAAGGCATTAATTATATAAGATACCAAAAGTGGACTCAGAAATTCACAATTATTCAGTCTATGTCCTAATTAATATATGATGACGAAACATTTCCTGAGGAGCCTTATATATGGCAAACCAACCTGTTAAAGAAAAAAATATAAACAGAAATGTTCAGTTCCCATTGATATTATTAAAGCTAAGCTTTATCGCTGCTTTTGGAGTCTTTCAGAACTTATGAATAATTTTGTCATATGTTTACAGGGTTCTATAAAACTTACTTATAAATATAAATTTGTTTACTTAAGAAAGGCCTGTTTTTTGGCAAATTATATATTAATTTAGCCGATTCAACTTATTAATCAACTTAGTTTCATCAGATTCGTTAAAATTATTAATGACCTATTTTAGTTGTATGGAAACTCCTGCGGACATCACGAATTGTTTGGCAACCTTCGGCTATGTCGCTCTGTCGGCTTGCGTTAAATCTCAATCGTCAACTTTTTAATAATGCATTTGCAATTTCTGCGGCTAGTAGATACTATAGTTCTATTCCATTGAAACCTACCCAGGTTATATTTCCGGAAAAAAGGTATTCAAGTAAAAATTTGGTATAATTTGTTTTTAAAGAATTCTTGCGAGCCCTCAGCCAAAGTACTTCTTTATCGCTCGATCTTTTTCATGTATGTATTTTTCGAAATTATTACTAACCGTTCACGATTAGCTTTGCCAACTCATGTACTTATTAAGCTGCCAAGCCTGTCTCCTACAATGGAGACTGGTAATGTAGTCAGCTGGGCGAAAAATGAAGGTGACCAGGTTGTGGAAGGTGACCTTCTGGCAGAAATCGAGACCGATAAAGCCACCATGTCAATGGATTCCAGCAATGAGGGCTATATCGCCAAAATTTTGGTCCCTGCTGGCACAAGAGATCTACCCATCGGAACGGTAGGGGTTATTTTCTTATGTTTAATTGATTTGTAATTTAGCCACTGGTTATCATTGTTGAAGATGAGGCATCAGTTGCTGCTTTTAACAATTATGATGCTGCTTCTGTGAGTTCCTTTCAGGATTCTTTCTTTTAATGTATCTTACTCTTACCAATGCTTTCTAATTTGTGCCAAAATATGTCAAAATTTTAACGATAATGCTGCATTTTGGCATTACCCTACAATTTCAATTTCAAATATTTCCCCAAATGTGTATTCCCTTTGGTGCATCATCTTCCATTACTGTTTTGTCTTAAGTACTGTTACTTTGCTATAAATCATATTCTGTGTAACTACCTAACTCTGTGTACTTTGAGTAGAGATTAATGTTTGATTTGGCACGTTTCAAGAAAGGATAGGTCTTAATTGCTGCACTCAATCTTCTTTTGAATTTTATTAGTTGTATTGTGATTGATCTAGTGCGTACAAGAGATAGTTGTAGACCTGGGCTGCCTTTTTACTTCGAATATCTTGCAAGCAGATTCAAATTACTTATTGTATCAATGAAAATTTTACTATATATGTATGCAGACTATTGGTGTAATTCGCTTGCCTAGGCACATCTCGCTTTTGTCACAAATAGTTCTATTCGTGTAAGTGAGGTTGTGATCAATCTATAAATGAGAGCATTAGTCAATGTGGGATATCTTAGATTCTACTTCGAAACATGGGATTACAAAAGCGTTCCTTGAGGGAGGATTTAGAACACTCTTTTGATCTTTGCAGTTGATTTTTTAAGTCTAGAAATAGAATTGAAGTTAACTTATTTGGGATGACGTATCGATCAGCGATTTTGGCACCCATGCTTCATATTTTCGAATAATTGAAGTTTGTTTTGCTTTCAGGGTACTGTACCTGCCGCTGAAGCAGCATCGTCACCACCACCTCTTGTTGAACCGGAAAAAGAAAAGGAGACCCAAGCCCCTTCGACATCCCCCAAAATCACTCCTCCACCTGTTATCACTCATCAAGAATCAGGTTCCGTGTGTAATCGTCTCTTCATCTCTCCTCTGGCTCGTCGTTTGGCCAAAGAGCGTGGAATTGATCTCTCCTCTCTGAAGGTAGCTGGTGGCAGTGGCCCACTGGGTTCCTTCGTTGCGGCTGATATACCTGCTGCTGCTGGCAATTCACCCCCCGCTGCTGCACCCAAAAAGAAGAAGGCTGCTAGGCCTCCACCACCTCCCGGCTCCAGTGGTGACCATTCACCCTTCTTAGATACCCCAGTGCCATTTATAAGAGAGGTGAGCTAACTTGCTTTATTTGGCTTATTGTTTGGTGTTCGAATAAAGCTTTATTGCTCTTGGTATTATCTTTAAAGAGCAGTTTTTTAAACTTTTTTGGTTGAGCTTTCAATTATTTTAGTCATGTTAAATTTGAAAATAAAACATGCAGATCTTTAAATGTGCGAATCTCGGCCTACATGTGATAAGGAGTCTTGAAATACCTATAACATATTGCAAGTTCATGGTCTGTTACATTTGAAGTATAACTTTCTCATAGGTCGTAATATTTGACCTTTCCGATTACGTGGTACAAAATGACATGATTCGGGCGCCTCTTTAGGACTTCAACCCCTCCCCCCTTTAGTGTAGATTTGAAGAAGTGTGCCTACCAACTGTAAATAGATTTTTTGATATTTCTTGTGAGCTAAACCAGCTCCATCTTGAGCCATTATCATGATTATTTATAGTCCGGGATGTAGAAGATATTGTGTTCGGTGTCTATTGGTTTAAACCTAATATTAGGAATGTGACCTAACATACTGCCAATGTTGACTAACTTGGGATTTGGCGAATTCGAGTTTCTCTTGCGTAAGGCCTCATAGCACCGCCCATCTACCCTAGATTTCTTGTTATCGAAACTCGGTGACTATTACTTTTCAATACAATGTAATTTTCAAAAAAAGGCTTTACAATTGGTACTTTATTGTACGAAATGTTTCCCTTTTTATTTGACTTATTGTGTTATTCGCTTTTTTCATGGAGTGGTATCCGTCTGTTGATCCCTAGAAGCTGCTTTTCTTTCTTCATACAAAATAAACACCCAATCTCTAATCAACAGTATTTGTACCTAGCTTTCTTGCCTGAGCTGCTCCATCTTCTACTTTATTTCATCGAATTTGACTCCCGGAAAGTGTAGGCTTCATTTCCACTGTGTTGAGTCAATATGTTTTTGTTCTATGTTGAATTTCAGTCTGAAAAAAAAAACGCTTTTTATGTTGGACGGGGAATTTTCTCGATTTGTTTGTATGGTAATTACCCTGTTTCAATTATTACTGACGTAGAGGGTCTCTTACTCTGTATTTCAGGTGATTGCAAAGCGCCTGACCGAAGCCAAACAGTCCATACCCCACTACTACCTCACAGTAGACATTGAACTCGACGCAGTGATGAAGATGCGAGAGGAGATGAATGCTACCCTAGCCAAGCAGGCAGCCCCTGGCACTAAGCCCCGTAAAATCTCCGTCAATGACATTGTCATCAAAGCCATGGCTCTTGCCAACAAAGCCGTCCCCGACTGTAATTCTAGCTGGATGGGTGACTTCATTCGACGGTAAGTTGCCCCAACTTTATTGTTTCTTCCACTATTATACATCTTGAACTTTGAGCGTTAGCATAACAATGGTCTCAGTAAAGTTTTGTGTTCAGCTGTTACGTTGTGGAAGGATTCTGACCTCTGTATATAGTATAAGGAGTCTTACAGATTATTTAGAAATGTATTCGAAAGGTGCTTTGTGATCCGCAAAGTTCATAGATAAGCTGACGCTTTTCGGGCAGGTTGTTGCATACTTTCTTAAACAGAGCAACAAGCTGTCAAAGTGGTTCTTTCGTTATCAATCTCTTACCAAAAAAGAAAACATTTTGAAATAATTAGTTAATTCTTGACGTTTTTCCAAACAGGTTCTGAATATACTGTAACCACTACTCGTTCATTTTTAATCCAATGAAACCTGCAGTTATGTGCTATTAATAATTGGAATTAAATTGCATTCTTCATATTGTAGATATGAAAATGTTGACGTGAGTGTTGCTGTAGCAACTCCGGACGGTCTCATCACTCCCATAATTTTTAATGCCGATGCAAAGGTTAGAAGCAATGCGAGAGCTCGAATATTTTGCCTGGCGACAAGTTGTTATTACACTTTTCTCTATTATATAGAGCCTTTCAACAATTAACCAAGAGGTTCGTAACTTGGCAGAAAGGGCGAAGGAGAACAAACTAAAGCCCACCGAATTCATGGTAAAGTCTAATCCCCTTTGACTTATTTACAATGTTAAGGACCTTGGTTTAAGGTGCTACCTTATTGATTAATTTACAGTTATTTATTGGAAGTTTCTAAGCGATGGGCCAGTCTATTTTTAAAAGTTGTAATTTTGAAAATTGAATTGCAGCCACTTCTTAATCAGAGCCTTCATTTCAAAGACAAAAGCGAATGCCATTGAAATTATGAAGATGGAAAAATCTTTGGTTCGAGATTAAGCCAGAAAGCATTTACAATCTGAAGAAGGAAATCAATTTGAAGCTAATTATTTATGCAATTAATTATCCACGTGTTTATTGTGTGTCGGTTAATGGTTGTGTATGCCTTATATTAAGGGACTATGTGATCAGTGCTAGACTACTGGAATCACGCAGAGTTGTCTATTGCATGGCCTGTTTGCTGTATCAGTAGAAACTTGGGGCAAGTTGAACGCTGTAGCCATTGGAATTGGATTTTAGGCAAATGAAAAGGTGGCTTTTTTGTTAGATCCAATCAATTTTTATTTGATTAAATCAGTTTAGAATGGTGAAAGCAATATATAGACTTGCCTGAAGGTGTACTCTGTGAGTAAGGAGATCCCTTGACCTTCCGGTCGAGAATGTTTCCATTCTGAAAGAATTTATTGTATTCAGCGATGATCTTTAATATAGCATTATTAGATATAAACCTCTAATTATTTAATTTTGATTAACATAAAATGAGTTTATTTGTTTTCAAAATCAAGACGAGGCCAATGGCCAAGTTGTAAACAATAATCGCAAAGATCCCTAAGTATTATAAGCTAAAATTTTTTATCTTTATTTTTCTATTTGTAATCTTTCTAGGGAGGTACGATCACAGTCTCTAACTTAGGAATGTTCGGCATTTCCTCCTTCAGTGCCATCATCAATCCACCGCAGGCCTGCATTCTCTCCGTTGGAGGTTCCCAGAAGGTTCTTGTTCCTGATGGAGACAAGGGGTGAGCTAACTTAGAGGAGACTTTAATTGTATACAAGGACTTTTTCTTTTTCCATAACAGTAACCATTACATGTGGGCTGGTAAATAAGTTAAAGGTGAAATTCTTGTTAGAAAATGAAAAACAATCTATCCAGTATACTTGACTGTTAGTTTTTAATTAATTTGCGCCTGATAGAGGATATGGTAACGTAACTAGGTAAAGGTAGGTTTCGAATGTAATTGATGAGGTTACCCGAAGTCAATGTAGGTCACTTCAATATAATGGCCGTGGCTAACTTTTCTTTTCGTATAGTGGGGAACAGAAGCCATCGGCAGTGTTGTGAATAGTGCATTCGTTTGCTCTCAGAGGCCATGGGTTTGCTACCTCATCATACCTGAAGAAGTTACTTCACCATCCGTCTGCTCGATAAGGTAGACAAGCACTTGTCTTTGGTCAAGTAGACTGCGCAAAATCTATTTGACCTAATAACTCTAGACTTCAAATGAAGTTGCGTTCTCCTGATTCCCTCACTTCTATGGCCAAATACTCCCTTGTAAATGCGAAGATCCGTAGATTTTTTTATTTTTTTGCCTTGTTTGGAAGCCTCGTGTCTTGCGAAAAAGGGGTTGGCAGTAGTATTCAGATTACTATCAGACTCTAGAATGAATGGAAATATAGGATCAATGGTGTCTTGGGCATGTAAGAGAATAAGGCATTAATGTCTATCTAAAGACTTTAAACCAAACTCATAATCATCTTGGTTCGATGTAAGAACAGTCAAACATACGCAAAGAAGTAGACCCAAAACCTCCACTACGCTATCTTATTATTTTTTCATTTCAATGTTTGACTTTTTAGATTCAAGACGGTGACAAAGATGTCGGTGACTTTGTGCTGTGACCACCGTGTTGTAGACGGTGCTGTAGGGGCAACTTGGTTAAAAGAATTCAAACAACTGCTTGAGTCACCCTCCCAAATGACCTTGTAGGACCCGATGACAGCGCAAACACCAAAGTGATTTAGTAGAAACTCACTTCTGTGCATGTAAAATGTTGTCGCTAAGACCGATTCCTACTTTATCTATTTCTCTCCTATTGTCTTACTAGTATTTTGTCTCTTCTGCAGTTAGGCTCTTTGTATGCTAAAAGGATGTGCTTATAGTGCCTCTGGACTCTTGTTATAGAGGATTGGGGATTTCCTGTATATTGTATTGGGCTCTCGGGATTTTAATGAAATTGGAATCATTACAGCATGATTATTTATCGATACCTTATGGAGTTTAGGCTAATGTAGAATCCAACCCGATTTCAAATCGGAACACTGGGGACGGTCACTTTGGTATAGGGGATGCTACGGCCGACCCACATTTTGGTACTTAATAAAATATTATTCATAACTCATTTTCTAAGGAGTATTACAAGAGACACGAAACAAAGAAAATGTTAGCCTACTTTAGTTTATACCGCATAGTGCAACCCAATGAGCCCTTTGTCGTGAAAGAAGCTTGGTATTATTTTCATTTCAAAAGAAGTCATGAAGGTACAATCGATCAGATCAATAAAAGACCAACTATTTTAGGGGATATGTACATTAACTGGTTTTCGGTCGCGCTTTTCTGCGTCTTCGCTTGGTAACTGTCTTGGGTTCTAAAAATTAAAACGACATGGAATAACACTACTACTCAAAACTCATTAGTAATTGAGTCGTTATAAACAAACCTTCGGTGGACTTTCGTTTTCTCGAAAGATTTGATGAATTGCCCTCCTGACTTTCTTCATCTGCAGACCAATTATCTGCGAGATTAGGTAGATTTTCAAATTCCTTCGCGTATTTCAGTTTATATGTTGCCTGCGTAAGTCTAGAAGTAGGCTATAAAGGAAAAGCGATTGAGAACGAAGTTCATTATCAAAATAATAGTAACTTAACTTCCCACCTTTAGTTGGGAATCAACATGAGGGAAGAATTCAACGATTTGAGGAGTCCGGCTTACACGGTGTTCAAGGGACGATTTAAATTTACTCAAAACAGAAGTGAGAGTCCCCTCACTTGTTTGCCTTGACCAACCGAGTTTTTCCATCGCATACGTATTGACCCAACAGTTAAAGAAAATTTTTGTAAAATAAAAGCATAAGTAGTGGATATCCCGTGATTCATCAACAATTTGTATAGGTAAATTTAGGTGGGAAAACCAAACTCATACCGCAAAAAATGCAAAAACAATTACTGAAAAGGATATTTTGTAAGCAGTGCCATCTGTGGTGTGTCCCAATGAAATTCCTTTGGTTCTTCAACATTTGGTGAGAGGTATCCCTTGACAACCATTTCATTAGGAAAATCTAATAGAAGAAAAGTAAACTGATTTCTGTTGAACAGCATGTTACCATCTGGAACTTTGATATTTTTCCATCTTGAATCAGTTCCTCTCAAACAAAATTCGCGAAATGCTAAAAGGGGCTGGAGAACCGCATCGATCTCAGTAGAATTCGGATGGTTGTAAGAGCGACAGAAAAAGGCTACTATCTCCACGGCCTTAATGGGGCCGATCTTGTCGATGCCATTGGTGTAATCACTACCGCAGAGCATGGCTAACTGAATTAAGTGACGTCTGTCCAATCCTTGGGAAGAGAAAGAACAATCAAGTTAGTACTCATTTTGGGAAAACTTGCGACATGTCTTGTGTTTTACACCGATTCCTCTTAGAGAGATGAATATATTCCTTACCAGGACCATGCCGAGAGCGTCCACATTTATTATGCTTCTGATCTTGCCATAAAACTTGGTAAGTTGATAATGATTATAAAAAGTGTACAAAGATGAAAAGATAGGAGTGACGACATCGCCAAAGAGGAATTAGGTTACTGTTAAGTATTCATAAAAATTGTTTGGTTGTTGTTGGATAGAATTGCTGAGGCTTGCTTAATTTGGCATATTATTGAGTTCTGGAGTCTTTAGGCTACCTTGGAAAGAGGATTTAATAAATTTAAAACAGGGTGTGCGATAGACTTACCTCCACGTAGTGCACCCTGGGCAACGCATACTCATGCGGCAAAAAAAGTCTATAAACCGGCAGTTGACTTCTGAGTTCAAGCTATCATGTCCCCACTGTATGTCATATTCGACTTCTTTCACAGTACTCACCTCACCTTTCATCTACCTTTGTGTCTGTCTCTTTTACATATTTAAAACACTCTTCTGTTCCCACCCACCCCCTCTCGATTTTTTTCGATTTGATGTTCCTCCTCTCCCTCTGTGAAGACTGAAGTCAACTAAAGGGCTAATGATAACTATCATAAAGCTGGCCATTTGAAAGAGAAGCTTCCTAATCAGCCTTGATTAATAAACCCACCCAGACACTCTTTGATGTCCTGACTTGAATACAGAGATGTGGGCTTTGACTTGGCCTTTCCACTGTCATTGCCAAATAGGTGCCGACAGACGAGACTCGCACCGAAAACCCAGACATCTGAGTCATCACTGGCAACAATATCGACTAATCCAAGTTGCTGAAGGCGACAGCACTGGGCCTCCGCTTCCTCGGGGCTGGTGACCACAGGAAATCCGAAAAGTTCAACCAAGCGCTAAATTAAAACTTATTTTTTAAATTAAATATTTGATGAAATTTTCAGATGATTTACCTAACTAACTGAAACGAATAGTGAGATTAGTGCAAACAAATAATCTCAAATAGAAGTGTTGAGGTCATTTACGTACCTGGGCTTCAGCAACACAATCTGAGGTTGTCTCCTGTGCAAGACGCTCGAATCTATCCGCTTCTAACCGCAAAACTGAATCATCAATCTCCAAATTGTCTTCTATTTCGTCAAATCCAGGTGCCAGAAAACTTGAAATTTGTGGCAAAGATTCTTCTCGACTAAATTCATCTTTAACTTCTGAGTCTGGAACCTTTCCCACAAATGCAATTTTCCCATCCACTTTCTTTGCAGACAATTCCTCCTTGACAATCTTTTTCGCAAGAGGTGGTTGAGCATGGTTCATAAGGTTTTGCAAATTCTCAGAGGAAGTTGATTGATCGACGCAACTACTAAAACCATTAAAATGTTCAATGGAGACCGATTGGTCAGTAACATCAGTAAAATAAGTTTCTTCAGAGGATGATTCCTCTAAATTTGATTCTTCATCAGATGTTATGGACTCGACATCTCCTGTTTTGACTGGTTGTTTGGCAACAATAACCCTATTTTTATTAGTAGATGATGAGGTCCCGGCCTCTCTGGACTGAATAAGACGAAGAACAAGGTTGTCTAGAGTCTTAATATCTTCAGAACCTGCTTCCACATCGACAAAGTCGTCTGTGTCGGTAGAAGTAGCTTCGGATTCCGACGACCCTTCCTTCACTTTGACTTCATCACTCCCAAATCTACCATTTTGATCCGTTGAGTCCGGATCCATTTTTGTAAGTTCAGTAACTGTGTTTGGTTCAGATGTTACTTTTTCATCGGAATTCAAATCCGATCCAGGTGATCTAACAAGAATTCTACAAAATAAAATTCTTAAATTCCATAATTTGAAAAAGTAAAAACTATTTAGGCATTCTAAATTACGCAATCAATATTTGCAAACAGTAGTGTGAAATGGCAATCCATCAATGGAAGAAACTTAAGCACATAAAGATTATGCTTAAAGAACGCAAATTTTATTATAGTATTTAATTCTATAACAAAAAGGCGATTTCAAAAGATAAAATAATTATGTCAGTTAAATTAAGTAAACTAACTATGATCAACAGGTGCTCAAGCTTTTAAATAACAAAATAATATAGTTTTACTAGTTGCTTTTGCAATATATAGATAGACGTATGTATAAGTAAAGGACAGCAGTTAGTGAATCTAACCTATTAAGTCGTGCTCTCAAATCGTCGGCATTTTCCTTCGATGACCGTCTTTTAAGTAAAATCGCATGCCCTTCATCTTGAGAAGCTATCCGAAAAGCTCTAACAACCATGTCAGATGTTGATTGTATTTCCTTCGGAACCGCCTCGGCTATTAATGACTCATTCATTCTGCTTTCGATTTCCTCCTTCTTACGCGATAATTCCCGACGCATCATCAGCCGTTTGATCTGAGCCTGTGAAAATGTCTCACCTTTCTGAGAGCAATATATATTTTACTTAAGACTTTGTAAGTAGTATTGATTTTATAGAATTACAGTGGCCTACCACTTGAGGCGACGCGTCAATAGAAGTGTCCTGGAGAATGAGAATAACTTGAAGCTGTGCTCGAATTGGAAGGGCATCGAAAGCATCAGAGTTAATGTCGATTGAAGAACGGCTCGCCTGTTAGAAAATAGGATCAATTAGAAGAGTGATAAGTAGACTTACAACAAAATTCTTGGCTAATTCTAACGCTGACTCCTGCTCGGATTCCAAATGCAGGATACTAGAAGAGGGTAGTCTACAATAAAAAGTTAATAAATTACTTCAAAATGGTCACTAAGGAAATAGTTGCTAAATAGTAGAGAAAATTATACTCAAGAATGGTAATATATAGAAAAACTGTTTTCAGTTTCAAGGCATTCACTTGGTCACCTTTTAAATACCGAAAGCAAAAAGGTCTTCGTTTTCTCAACACTGGGTTTCGTAATTTGTAACAAAGTCTTTGAGAAATTAATCGTAGAAATGGAGTTTCTTTTATAAAAGTTGACAGCAAAATCACTCTTGTTTTTAACACATCCAGTGGTACCACGCCTGAGTCAACTAATACTTGTCCTCTACCTCCCGTTGCGCTTCTATTTCCAATGGTGCTTCCTGCTATAACTCCCATTGAGGCAACAAATGATGTCATGAAGCTGCACCCATAATTTGAAGACAAACACAAGTGGAATCATGCAAGCCGACAGAATCCAAGCAAAATAAACCACCATCAAGTCCCCAGAATGGATCGGTCAGTGTAAGCACATTCGAGCTAAAACCACGGTGGTTTGTCGCCCCAATTGATCGAAACTGGTGGTTGAGAAATGAAAACAACCCGAAGAAATCTCTCTCTCTTTATTGAAACAAAATTAAAGACAGTTGCAAAAAGTGCAAGAGAGGCTAAACAAACGGCTGCAATTGTGTACTCAGCAAAATTCCTTCGTTTCACAATGATTTCAGTCTTGTTATAATTATCATAAGAACCTCTTATCCTGGTTGATTATTTTAAAAGTAGCCCAAGATTATCAAAACTAAGTCTGCTACAACCGATAACATAGCCTCCACTACTTATTTCTGAATTAGGAAAAATCGCAATCATCGGTGAAGGCAACGCTTAACCGCATGATTAAAAAGCTCTCGCCAAGAGGTGATGGATAAAGAGTAATAATTTAACAAGTATAAAGTTCCCATAATTGTTAAAATATACTAAATATTAAGATGGATGCCTTGTGCAATATTTAAGTTAAGCCTTCCCTCAAGGAAGTCATGTACCATAATTTATTTCTTGTATTTTTGGGAACTTTGAAGGCAAAATTGGATAGCTAACATAAATATAAAATAATAGTCGCATACGGAGCCTCGAGAACAGAGTTTTGGGAACCGAAAATCTCCTCATCAATTTCAGCTCGTCTCATAGATTCGGTGGTACTATATCGATTAAGAAATTCCGCAGTCAAATCTGGCGAAAGCAAATGCAGTTAATGCTACTTAAAAAAATATTTCATTAGTTTGTAATAAGAATATCAAATAACCTGCATTAGGTTTCTTTGAACGGAGATCATTTTCAGCTAATCGACGGAAAAGACGCTTTAAGAGAATATTTCTAGCTCGAAGGCTCCTTTCCTGAGCTGTGCTACGGTAAGCTCTACGGTTTGCCTAAAATAGTAAACGGTTAAGATTTTCATTATTCGTAAGACTAGATTTAAGGAATCATAGAAATAAGCTTAACCATAGTATTTTTCTTAAGAACAGGCACAGTACCATCGAAAACGAAAACCGGACGAATGCCGTAAAAAAGAAGTTTGCAAATTCGGCGAAAAAGAATGGCAAAATGAACATTACGATTACCTTTAGCATTCGATTTTAAAGCCTGGTGAAGCCATATATTCATATCTAGAAAAATTATTTTAGGAAACCTGATTTTTATCATACCAATAGCCATTCTTTTGCCTCGAAGTTGCTCAAAGTCGGCTTTTCTTCGTGCAGGCTCCAGAATACGCCATAGCCCCTTAATACCCATATTTACAAAGCCTGAAATGAGCACTTTAAAAGTAAAAAAACACAATTATTAAATAAATTCATAAAACATCAATCACAAAAAATCTATACTATAAAAGTCAATATGTGTTCATTGTAAGACATAAAAGAAAACACAACGAAATTTAGCAAAACAACCTATGTTTCCAATAAGTTAAACAATAGATAAATCATTGTAATATTCGCGCATCACCTTAGCTCTGATTGGCCTATAGATTTATTTAATTGGGTTTTATTTGTGTCACAGATTTAAACAAGATAATGGGTTGTCTTAAAATAACCTGTCAATATTTTGAAAACTGATATTTATTTTTCATGCTTTTGAGTTAAATCATTAGCCTATTTAAATTATTATATTATTACAAGCTCGTGTGTGATCATTATCATCGTTAAAACAATATATTTTCTCTATTATTATCAAAGAGATTTTAAGCAGTTTAGATCTTAGAAACAGTTCAACGAATATCTAATAGTATGGGTGGTGGTGAAAATCAAGATAGCTGAAGTTAATTTGTTAAGCTTTACGATTTTTGCATTCGTCAATCCAGTTTACACTTTGATATTTTTAGACTCTCCAAAACTTAGCAAACTAATGAAAGTTTTAAACTTAAGCAGGTTGTTATAATGTATGTTAGTTCCATTAATATGCGCTCTTTGGCTTTTCAGAACAATTCTATTTAGATTTATTACATATAAACATTATTTAACATTAAATAGATTATATCTTATATCAACTCCCAATTGTGAAATGCTGATTAGACTTACTAGTATCTCTTTAGTTCGCATCCAACGAATACGTATAGTCACTTCAAAAATTGACAACAAATCTCAATCTCAATATAGTAAGCAAAATTCTTATAGGAGATGAAACTCTAATATTGACGGGATATGCAATTATTTAACCAACCATAGATAAAGTTATTTTCTTCATTTAATTGGAGCGTCTGTTTACATATACATTTATGTAGTCTAGAACTTGAATAAATTTTCATCTTGATATCTTATTGGTGTACTCGAGTAAGAGTGAAAAAAAATATTAAGTTTAGGTGTATTTTATCGACCACTAAAGCTAATTTTGTTTTATTCAAATAGACACATAAATAGTTGCAAACCTATCTATGGATAGATTATGCTATGATCATGTCCTTATATTCATTAATTGAACGCTCGATTGAAAATTAAAAGCATGTCATGCTTGAATGCTACAAATGTTTAAACTAATTCAGACAATTCTAGCTTATCTTGAGAAGGGTACCATGTCCATCATCGGAGCAAGTTATAACGAACATGCACTGCGAAGGCTTTTTCTAATTAAGCAAATGCATGCGGTAGTTTAAAATAACATCATTTGTTAATTAAATTTGTAAATTAAATGTATAAAGATGGTTTGAAGGCTGAGCAAAGATGTGGTCATTTGATTGCATGATAATTTACAAAATGTCACATTTATACCTACCTACCATGTACTAGTTTCTGCAAAATACAGAGAGTTAGCATAATTTGCATTTGCATTCGAGAACGTACCGTTGTAAGGTGGTCTGATTTTTTGGTCACTTGGAGTATGAGACCAAATGAAAACATGTGAAATTTAGAGTTAGTTAAAGTAGAGTGATTTTGCGAATATACAGTGATTTCTAACGTGATCGAAATTTAGAGGATAATTTAACAGAACAACATTGATTACATTGTACTATTTTTTGCTAATGCCAGGACATGGAATACTAAACATTTTAATAATTCAAATGAAGATGTAATTCATCATTTAGAAAATAATCTCAAATATATAAATTGTTACTGACATTTCAACCTATTTAAATCCTCGGATTGTCCTGGATATTAGTTCAGTATAAACCAAATATATGATTCATTATTAAAGTAGTGGGCATCAATTAGAGCACCAAAAGAGACAAATTTCCATTGGTCTGCCATAGCTAAAAAAGTCGACAAGATCAATTCCTTCGCTAAAATTGTAGAACCCCACCTTATGGACGGCATTCAATCGAAAGTAGGTGAGTACAAAAGTACCACCTGTATGTGCATGCTAACAGAAAAGAAGGAACTGCTCTTGCGCTCTCAACAAGGTCAGATTTCTCCATCGCAGCAATCAATAAGAATCTCTAGCGTGTTTGAAACCTCTCAGATCAGCGTCTACACTTTAAGTTTACCTCTGAGTCCAGTGCGACCTTCTTCAAAGAATCATTTATAGGAAAAGAGGTAGAATTCTAAATCCAATTGTAAATAACCCAAGTATCATTAAAGTTCTTGCTCCAAAACTTATGAAATTTAAAAGGTCTCCAATTTTAACATTGAGCAGTGGGAAGCAGACGAAGACAATGAGAAATCTGGGTTGTATGAAAAATTTAATTGAGAAATATTACTTTAAATTTTTAGTTAGTTCACAAGGTTATTAAATGAACTAGTGAATTTTCAAGTCACAGGTGAAAAGGTTTACACTTTCAACATCTCCTACCTTGTGTATAAGTGAAACAGAAAAACCTGGAGAATGGATTGTTAGTAGGATTTTCTCATATTAAGCAAAACCGGGGTTCTAGTCACTCAGAAAACATCTGCTTCAGATAGTTATCTTTTTTTTCTGGGTGGCGTAAACCGAGTTTACTCTTTTTACTGAGAAGTCTATCTCACGCTGATGTACACTGAAAGACCTTCAGTCCAGTGCTATACATTGATTGAAGAACTACTTTGATTTGCATAACAGTGACAAAATTAATACACTTATCAAATTTATTGTGTTGCGAGTAGTTGCATTTCAGTAGCGCTATTAAGTTGCCTAAAGTTAATCTTGTTAGTCTAGAAACATTTATCTGATTTGGGTTAAGGGTCAGGGGCATAAATTTGAAGTTTGTGTTCAAATATGTCTCATCAAAAGTGAATTTCTAAATCTGGGATGGACTGAGGTCAACCTCTGACCTCAAATGTTGGTGCAATGGTAACTAGTGTCGGTCTGCCGGAGATCTATGAAGTGCACCCCGCTACCAATGCTGATCAGAGAAATCTCTTACGCACTTGTAGGTGTGGTGGTGCTACTAATCGCGTAATGCGCAAGTGAGATGTGAGTGCATAAACTTCTCAGCCAGCCAGCCTGCATCTACAGCGTAGAGTAGCCCTAATTGAATTTTAATGACTAGGATTTGTGGCAGTCTCAAATACTTCGTAATAACACTGTTAACTCCTTACGTATTGTATCCCCAATACTATTAATACAGCTTAGGTGATTTCGGGAGCAATTTTATAATAGTGGATTTTATCAGATAGGCTAAGTCAATGTTGATATGTGTCGTATTCGCTACAGATAGGAGACCAAATACTCTACATAGTGTAAACCTATGAGTACTTGGTTTACATTCATTTCTAAAGACGTGGTTTTGGTTTAGGTAGAACCAAATGACCACAGTAAATTGAAATGAAGTGCTTTCAAGATAAACAAATTGGTCCCGACCAATATTCCACTTAAATACAGTAGCAACTCATCATAATATCATAGGGATATAATCTTTGAAAATTTGGCTTGGGACTTATTTGACAACCACGGACAGTGTGAGCAATTCCGGAAGTCGATTTATGTTGCATTTTTTGCCTGGTGGATAAGCATTATATTCTTTGCACGTTTGACATTGATTAAAAGAGTCTTGTAACACTTCTGCCTTACTGAATGCTGCATTTCCCGAGTTCACGCCAGAAATTGACTTTCTTCTCTAATATTGAGCAGAGATCTAACATCCTTTTGATTTATTAGTGTTAGGATTAGAAAATATATTTCATAACTTGACTTGCAACTATGAGATAGCAAAGAGGGCGTGTCAAGAAGTTATATAGCAAGAAGTCTACGCATTATGACCTATTGTTTAGGCATAATGCGTTGCATATCTATTTATCTTGTTGTGAAGTAACTTAGAAACCAAACTAGTTGCCTAAATGACCTTTAATGTGCAAGAATGAGATTTGGAGCGTGCAACTCAAATTGATTCTGTCTATCCTTCTCCGGCAGGTTGAAACATATAGGAAGGCCGATTATGGGGTTATTGCTCAAGAACCAAAAGTGATGTGCGTATTAAGTATGATAAGGAATTGGAGATGCTATTTAATGAACCTGAATGCAAATATCCTAATTCCCTCCAAATTACCCTAATCTGCACGCCAATACAATCAAATTTTCAAGTTTATTTGGTCAACAGTTGAGTATTTGTCTTCTGTACTAAATATTTCATATAATCTTAAATTTATCCATACAAAGAAGCATTTTAATTCATTAATTCTATTTTTAATAATCACTTATGCGCGCTTAAGAGCCAATTTTGGTTCCATACGAAAATATATAATAGCTATTTCTATTCACTCTGAAAAGCATTTCAATAGCACAAACGAGTCCTAATTTTTTAATTAGATGAGAGGCATGTGGTCATTGAATCTGAGTGAATTATTTTTAACCATTGGAGTTTCAGCTTCTACTTTTTTTCAAAGTAACTTGCTGTAATTTTAGTGTAAAAAGTGGGTATAAGCTTCTGAACGCCATGACCTTATAGATCTCTACAGACTTGTAATCCCCAGGGTTATTGAGACAAGTGTTTTCAAGCTTTTTTCTGAGGAGAGTGGCATTCGTTCAGCCTCACTGATGGAAGAATTTAATTTTGTCACACTCGCACCGGCCAGACTTACTCAGTGTGGTGGGTCATTCCGCTCACAGATGCGCGTCAATGAGTATTGAAATTATGACTCATAACGTAGTAGACGCGCGCGTTGTCTAATGAATCACCAGCACGCTTCAGGTATATCCAGTTTCACTGAATATTAAGAATTAATTACTCTGGTTGCCAAAAATAGATCATTTTATCTGTTTAACTGGGGTTCTCTGAATAAGTAAAACAAGTTTAAATAGAGCCAGAATAAAAGCTTAGGGGTGTCCTACTTCTATATATATATTTTTCGGCTTTATTGGCTAATTGTTGAAATACTGCATTAGATGACTACGGATAGTACTGACCTTATCAGGATACGTGAGCACAGGTTGCAGCAAACGCATAGTTGCGGCTGTATTATTTTTTATAAAAGGTAAACCTTATCTCAAATTTTACCACCTGTAATGAGAAAATGAGTTGTGTCCACCTATCTAAGAAAAGTGTCCAATGGTGCGAAAGAATGTACCAATTGACCCTGGACTATAACGCGGAAGTTCGTGACAGGCTAAAAAGCCAAAATCACTTGTTTTAAAATAGTATCATCTTTAACTTGTGAATTTATCATGTTGTTTTTAAGTGAACTATAGTCAATTTACATCAGATCACGCTTATGACCACGTTGAAATAGCTAATTTGCTATGCTCGAAAATTAAAAATTGCGAAATTTCTTTTAAAAGTGTGGAAATAAGAGAAATACAAGCGTTACTGAATTACTTCGTCTTCGAATGCCGTCCAGAATAATAAGTTTTACTTTCCAAATTCTCCAACCAATGAGCAAAACGCAATCATAAAAGCTAGCGTGCCTTAATTCGCGTTAATCGATAGTTTGCAATGACGAATTAAACCCAAGCATGTGAGTGACTAACCAATCAGCTCCTGAATCTTGCGCTGATTGGGTGAATGGGGTAGTACGCACGCACGCCAGTAGCGTATAGGCGTTTGCAGAACATCGTGGCTCGTGCACTTTATTTTTGGCTGTCTCGCCTGCGGGTTGGTCTGTGCGTCCAGATATCGTCTAAATTTTACACTTTCAGACAATGCAAAGAAATTTTTCTTCAATATGGCTCCCCAGCCAAGCAGACCCTAGAACCGCTAATTATCCTCTAATGAATAGCTTTTGGCCCACTGCCCTAATATCTCTCTTTTACGTTGTTGGGGTTTATACTTGGGTTAAAATCGCCGCTCCAAAGAAAAAGAAGACAGGAGCATCAAACGGGCATACAAACAACGGGAATGTATCCAACGGAATTGCGCTAAAACCAGCCCCCCCTAAATTTGATCTCCTCAAGTGTCTGATGGTGATATATAACTTCTCAATGGTTATGTATTCTTTATACATGACTGTTGAAATAACTCATCTTTTATATATTTCTGATTATGGCTTGGGTTGTGTGCCATTCGATCCAACTGATAACGAATTACAACGACGTTTCGTCTTTATGGGATACATGTTTTACTTCTCCAAATTTTTGGAACTCCTCGATACTCTCTTTTTCCTTCTCCGAGGCAAATTTGACCAAGTCACTTTCCTCCACGTGTTTCATCATGGCGCTATGCCTCCTTCAATTTGGTGGGGAATAAAGTACTCTCCTGGTAAGATTTTTGGATCTAAACTTCATTCAAACTTCTTTATGGATGCTACTTTGCATTGGCTTTGTTTTTTTCTCTTACCCACTGGAGTTATCTGTCTCCAGATAGTTATTTCAATCGCTCTTTTAAACTACGAGTTTTTGACACGTGTAATTGACGCTCTGGTTGTTTTGTTGCATTAGTTTTTTTTTCATTCCATAGATTTTGTTTTGTGTTTGCTTAATAGGCTTTTCATGCAATGTTAAGCTCTTGTCTAATGCAGGTTTCGAAATTTAATTTAAATATGGTGGCTTACTTCTTGAGTCGATTTTGTTTGTTGAGCCTGCAAGTGCTCAAACAGTCACGTATTAGCCTGCTTAACTGTGTGCTGCCTATTTGTGGAAGTAGCTAAACTCTTCATTTGTGCGTATTATATGGGAAGGGGGGGGGTGGTGGTTGCCATTACCTGCTTTGTTCTCTCTACTGGATTGAAACCAAATAAGCACATCTCTATGAGATACTCCTATCCGTGCTTTTTTGTACATCGTTTCTTGAAACACGCTTTCCCCGATTATTGAAAGCTCGGTGGTGAGCCTATGCACTCCTTAATCGCCTTAGATATGACCTCGTTTCAAAATTTTGACTTCAAATTGTATTTAGAAGAGCTCGAAACTATTCATCGCTTTTCTACCTTATTTTGATCTCTCAAGCTGTTTTTGTACCTTAACGTAAAATGAAATCTGGGTTGGGCAACGGCTTATTCACTACCACTACCGTTAGTTATCATTTAGCTTGGGGGGCTGCTTACAAATCAATTAGTTAGATAAAAGTGGTCTACTTAATGAATGTAGTGAATACATTACTGTTTTGGCTGCATTTATTGGCATAAAATCTCGAATATTGTGTTCCCTTTAATACATGTGTTGGTAAATAACGATCTTCCATTACTTGATTGGCCAACTTCTGCTTTATCGTCATCTACGTTTCTACGTAAGATATTCAAACGCAAGAATCTTGTCTAGAGATGGCATTCAATTTACCTTCACGACTCGAACCAATTTAAGATCCCCGGACTGACTAAAATGCCATTCATCGCCAATTAAACGGAGGCGTTCTCTTGGAAATCGGTTTGGGCTCCTTAAAAGAATGCCCTCGCTTGCTCCCGTGCATCTAATGCCAGTAAGCATAAAAGTGGATTACTCGAAAGACCTCGGGCAACATATTTTTGGCAATTCAACTTTTTGGAACTCTTAATCACCTCGTTAATGGGACGTATTTGATTAGTCTATATGCTGAATTAAACTACTCTCTGGACGTTTCCTTATTCTAGGTGGATTAGTGTTCATATTTCCGTTGGCAAACAGCGCTGTGCATGTGATAATGTATTTCTACTACGGTATGTCCGCTCTGGGTCTCTATCGTTACTTGTGGTGGAAGAAGTACCTCACTGCCCTCCAGATGGTCCAGTTCTGCATCTTCATTGTGCATCAAGGTCAAGTGCTAACCCCTATCAATTGGGATTGCGATTTCCCAAAGGTCTTTCCTTTAGCTATTGTCGTCTACGCAATTATCTTCCTATTTCTCTTTGGCAATTTCTACGTTCAGGCATACTGGCACAGAATGCGATTGGCTAGGGTCATTGTTGAACAGCAAGCTGCCGCCTCGTTGCACAAGGATTCAGCCGACGCCAAAACGAATTGCAAGGACCATAAACATAAGAAAGCAGAGTAAGTGGACTACAATTGACCGACACTGAAGGCACTTTGGATGTCTCGTTTTTACCATCCCTCCTTCTCTCCTCCACTGTAGGTGATTGAATCTTAATCTTTCTGTATCTTGGACACTTATGCACATGAGTGTGTGTATAAGAATATGACGCCTTGTTTCAGATTCTTCGCTTTTCTCTTCTGATCCTTTCCCGTACCCCTGTTTAGGACATTTATTTCCCACACTTTGCCTTTTTTGTGACCTCAATCACTACCCCAAGTGATGATTCCTCTCCCTTTCCCTCTATGCATGTTTGCTTGTGTAAAAATAAACAAGGATTCCATTTGAGATGGGTCTGATTTCAAATGCTTCTTTGGTCCTAATTGTGGTGAGGTCAGTCCATTGATCTTTGAGGTAGTTCATTTCAATCCAATTAGACGTGAGGGCCATACATATAGAACTCCGTTCCTGACATGCTCTGAAATTAGAGCTTAATGACGTCGTTTCCATAACTATTTCAACTAAACTATGGCGGTCGGTTCATTTTTGTTCTTGTACAAATTGGTCCAGAGTAAGTTGTGGCTTTTTCGTTTCGTGAAATATAGTAATATTAGTCGCGAAAGAACTATCAATCAGACGTTTAAGTTACAAGTAGGCACAAATTGCAAGAATTGAGGTTCAATTTTGAAAGAATGCAGTTTCAACTGACAACTGTTAAGCTACTTTCCACTTTAAAAGGGGTCACTTTTCTTTCCTATTTACATTCCAATCGTGCCTGCATCGACGGTAAGATGGTGTCGTTTGATGACGTATGCTAATTATCTTGATTTGCTATTTACCATAATAGAAATCGATGATAGTGAGATGGAATTTCCCTGTTTTTCGAATTATAGTGGCGTTCATTACTAGCTTACCTGCTGAATAAAATGTACATGTTGACCGTGAAATCAGTAATAAGTGTGGAAATCCATTTCATTCATTCCTTTGAGAAGTAATCATTTACTATTCAAATAAAAATTTATAGTTGCCAGAAGTACAATCTTCGAATTTTAAAGTTCACTGAAATTCCAAGGTTTTAGTTCAGATGTGTGTGAATTTTAGTTCGGTCTCGGCTTGGTTAGTAAGGATTCCAAATTTGAACATAATACTGAAAGGCAAATTGTGCGTTCATTAGGGTTTCATAAACCCCTATTTCTATTTTACAAAAGTCCACTTTTAGAAGAATATAGGCTGGGTGATGGTGCCAATCCCATTTTCACATCCACGTAAGAGTAGTCCCGGTTAATCTGATATGCTAAGAGGATCTGCTTCTCTGTATAGATAATGGTCGAGGAAGGATGACTTCCTAATTTATTTATCTAACACCCCCCCCCCTTCGTTCTCTTCGGGATACAGAGGTGGAATCAGTTAACCTTAACGGCTGCAACCCTNCCCCCCCCCCCCACCCCCACCCTCCCATATTGGATGATGTTCAATTTCTAATTTGGTACTATTCTGGAATATTTAAGAGGATTACCGACCTTTCCTTTATATTAAGGTTTGAATTTTTATTAGTACTCGAAACAGTGTCGGTTATCTTTGCAGATGGGGCCAGTTTATTGATCCAAAGAACAGTTTCAATCGGTGTTAGGGGAAACTAAGTTGCTTGGGCCTAGATTTAATGTTTTCGACCCTTGGGTCCTTTTAAATGCATTGATGGTGACTCTAAGATTTGGGAAATCATTAATGAAGCGTAGTATTCCTGTTTCCTGTCAATCTGGATAACTCTAAATTTATTGATTGTACACAGGTAGTAGATGTAGTGGCATACAGTTGGTACGTCTGGTGTAGTTAATGCTGTTATTTGTTAACCATAGTAGGTGATTATAGTGACAAGCTGAATGCATTTGAGGATAGGGGTAAGGCCAGGTACAATAGGTTTGGGTCTACTGTCCCATTGGTCGCCAAGATATATTATTGTAAAATCACCACAAATAAAGGTCATGTTGAATATGTCACATGATATATTTGCCAACAGTTATTGTTATTTAAATTATTTTCACGTTTAATGTAATTAAGGGGGGGGGAGGGGATAGAACATGAGATGAGCATGACAAGTAGTTTGCTCGAACAAACGCGTAGAGAGGAAAATGTACGAGTGACCTTGGAAGTCGTTCTAATATAAACTAAGCCCATTGAGGGGAGACTTGGAGCCTCTTTACTAAGAAGTACTTCTACCTTTCAACTCTTGGTCAATACTAAACAATGCGCTGATCAGCAGTAATTTCACCGAAGCAGATAAGCCCCCTCAACTTGTCAATCTATACTTTTAAAATTCCTAGTAATAATGAAAAAGACTTCTTGATTAGGTATTTCTCGACTAATCAATGTTCATATGTTAAAGCAACTTCAAACTGCTCCAACTGGAATTAAGTCACCTTTGATATCAAGAGCCATTTATATGATCGACTTACGTGTAATGGAAAAAACGCGAATCTGGAATATCCAACATTTCAAGCGAATTGCAGGTCAAGTTGCATGGAGGAAAACCAGAAATTGGGATAGGACAGATCGACGGTTCCGCCTTTCCCTGAAAGTAGATAGGAGGAAGATAAAGAAAACATCTGTCCTACATACTGGACCTAAGTCTTGTATTATGGTACTATAAGTTAAATGCAACTCAATTTCAAGAACTATATATTATTTTTTCATTTCGGAAACGCAAGCAATATTACGTTACTGGCTTGGGAAACTTGAACGGATTAATCCATCTTTAGCAAGACAGGTCTATCAACAAGGACACTTCCAATATTACAACTCTGAGCCATTGCGTAAACTTACAAATTCACGAAGTGGATATGAAGAAGGTAACAGTTGGAACCAATTTTACTCCACTCTCGGTGTAAATGCTGCAGGTCAAACCGGTGTCCAGTTAGGTTCCGTGGAGTGAATATAATTTTTATTTATATAGTCTGCCTACTGTCTCCACATCATGATTCTTAAACCTCCTACCTTACTGACCTTGGATTGCAAACTCAGACGTAAGAGTGACTCAATAATTAGTCCTACTATTACACTGGCATGTGCCATTTAGCGATGTTCCCGCTAAACACGTTTCTTAAAGGGGTTTGGTGCAGGGAGACAGACAGACCAAAGTTAATAGATGCAGTGCTTACATTGTGTAGAAGGCTGAGCACTTTCGATTGATTTTTTTATAAATCATCCACACCTTTTTATCCAAACGGGGATGCACTTGATCTCAATTGAGGTATTGGTTTACGACAGTCCTGCCTTATTCTTCATTCTCAAGTTCGAATTAACTGCAGTACAGTGGATTCAGTTAACAATTATTTGCCACCAGTAGTGATGAACTTTCTTTCAGTATTACAACATATATGGGATGATTGAGCACTTATAAAGTCTATTAAATATTGAACCACAAGATAGCCTTAACCCTAAATATTCTCCTTCCTACTGCATTAATCGGTATCTACATTCGAAGTGATTGTACTTCTGTTTGGCACCACGAAATTCTTATAATATAAGAATGGGGATTTTAGGATCGAGTTTTAATTTTTTAAACAAGTGCGCTCTAGTGAAGTACACCATTGTTGATGTACCTTTCCATTAAGTTCGAAACACACAAGGTCAGATGTTCTAAAGTGATAGCAATAATTACCCTGGTTGAACTTTAAAAATGCTCAAACAGAGGAATGGTTATTCTGATAAATCAACCATGAACTGCTATGGACTTTTCTGGAACATTCTTCTATGGAAGGTTGCCATATGTGTGAGATACTGATCCACTCAACACCACTTTTACTAGTATGAACCACGTAGACAATTCCGAGAAATATTATTCATTGATTTTTTTTTGAAAAAATGACAATTTGAAAATGAGGATTTTTCCCAGTCTTACCATTAATTTATATACTGGTTGCTAGTCAAGGTTGCCTATGAGGGGTACCTATCGAATTGGAAGAGATGAATTTGATTTTTCGATGAACTACATACACTTGTCACTATTTCACCTAAAACATTGTTTTTTTGGGGGCCATGTTTTGTGACGGTGTGAACACGATTGTTGGTGTATGCATTGTAACAGGTTCCACCATTGCATCTGCCACTTAATTATTCAACTCGAGTGTATTGGGGCATTTATTTCCCATTATTTGTGAAGGTAGTGCATATCTTATACCGGATGAATGGTGATTTTGAAAGGACCGTCATATTGTGATAAAAATGGAATCAAGGTTGAGTGAATCTACTTTTAACTCCTCCTTTGAACTCTTAGGCTAGGGATAATACCTAACTTTGCCACTCCTTCGTCATATTTCAAAGAATCAACTAGCGACGGGCCTTGACAATAGACCTGGTTGCCTGCTTGTTTTATAATTATACTGGAATTGTGATTTGTAAACAAGTTTTCAAAGTATGACAACAGTGTGAGCAACGCGAATAGCAGCATTATTTTCTCGCTTTTTTAAAAAAGCAATCTTTAAAATGGAGATTTTGGAGATATTGGAATTATTGCCCAAGTGTTTCGGTAGGCATTCATTTAAACTTTCACAATTTGTTTTGGTGTTTACTCGTCAATGGCCAATGAAATCAAGACTGCGAGAGAGGTAAGCACGAGTAGAACATTAAAGGAATGGAAGTGTACGCACACACACACACGCACACACGCACACACACACACACACACACACACACACACGCACACACACACACCCACACACACACACACACACACACACGTAGCATTTCATATAAAAGTGAGGACAAATCTGGATACCTTTCAAAGTTGGTGATTGAATGGTTAAATATTAATTGTTGTTTTGCAAAAATTTAAAAATGCTGAGGATAAGAATAGTGGGGTATTAATATCTAAGACCTCAAGAGAAAATTTTACTTGAGCTCATAGTTAATCGGATCAACTGCATTTCAAGATTTCACATTCATCACTCTCTTGGTCCAATTTTCTCTGAATGAAATATTCTAATAACTATCTACAAATGATGAATAGCTTTGAGAGTTGGTAGCTG